AGGAAATGAAGACACCATTCGAATGTGAACAACTACAACATCACTGCCACTCTCTGGGACATCCCCGTAGGACAGTGGTGAAGGACAATCCTCCCACTGGGCTGAACTTTGAGCAGTGCACCTGGTTGTTCACTTGCCTAGAAAGAGAAATGGCCAGATATGTGACTATGTAATGATTCATGGGCTTTAGCCAGAGTGTGGCTGGATTGTCAGGGAGTTTGAAGCAATAATACTGGAAAATTGATGACAAGGAAATTTGTAGAAGTGTGAGGATAGATCCCTCTAAATGGGTGAAAAGCATGAAGATATTTCTGTCCCATGTGAATGCTCACCATGTGACCTCAGCAGCGGAGGATTTTAATAAACAAGTGGATAGGATGACCCATTCTACAGACACCAGTCTACCTCTTTCTCCAGCCACCCCCGTCATCACCAAATGGGCTCATGACAAAGGTCCATGGCAGCAGGAGTGGAGGGTATGTCTGGGCTAAACAGCATGGACTTCCACTCATCATGCCCAACTTGGCTTTGTCCATTGCTGAGTGCCCAATCTTCCAGGAACAAGGACCAATACTGAATCCCTGATATAGCACCATTCGTTGTTGTGATCAGCTAGCTACCTGGTGGCAGATTGATTACATTGCACAGTGTAATGGAAGAGGCAGTGTTTTGCTCTTACTAGAACAGACACTTATTCTGGATATAGATTTGCAATCCTGCATGCAATGCTTCTGCCAAAACTCTATCTAATCAAGGAAGCTGCTTCATAGCAAATTAAGGGTAGCAATGACCTCATGCCTATGGAAATCATGTCTTATCATTTTCCCTACTATCCTGATAATAGTTAGTTTGATAAAATGCCCTTATGATGGAATGGCCTTATGAAACCCAGTTATAGTACCACCTAGATGGCATTAGCATGCAGGGCTAGGCAAAGTTTTACAGAAGGCAGTATATTTTCTGAATCCATGTTCAGTACATAGTACTGTTTCTCCCATTGCTAGGATTCATGGGTCTAGGAATCAAGTGGTGAAAATGGGAGTGGCACCACTCACTGTTACCCCTATTGACCCACTAACATCATTTTTGCTTCTTGTTCCCGGGCCTTTGTGCTCTGCTGGACTCGAGGTCTTAGAGCCGGAGGGAGGATTGCTTCTCCCAGAACACACAGCAATGATTCCACTAAGCAGGAAGTTAAGACTGCCACCAGGCCACTTAGTGCCTCTCATTCCTCTGAATCATCATGCAAAGAAGAAATTTACTGTGCTGGCTGGTGTGACTGATGCTGACTATCAAGGAGAAATGGAATTACTCCTACACAATGGAGATAAGGACAAGTATGTCTGAACTTCAGGTCACTCTGGGGCATCTCTTAGTAGTACCATTCCTTGTAATTAAGGTGAATGGAAATCTCAGCCAAACCAATCCAGGCAAGACTTCTAATGGCTCAGACACTTCAGGAATGAAGGTAGAGAAAAATGACCAGGTAAACAAAACTGACCAACTGAGGTGCTTACTGAAGTCCAAGGGGATATGGAATGGATGGTTGAAGGAGGTAGTTATAGATGGAAGCTACGGCCACGTGATCAGTTACAGAAATAAGGACTGTATTGTCACGATTGTTTACTCCTCAGTTGGGTAAGAATACATTTATTTCTGTGTACATATATATATGTGTGTGTCCATGTATATTTACATATGCATACAAAAAAGGTAGCAAATATCTTTGTTTTCTTTCCACTCATTCTCTTATCACGTAACGTAAAACATATTAACTTTATATCATAGTAATTAACTATTGTTAATTTTACATAGTAGCATTTAAGTTACCAGATATTAAGGAGAACAGTAAACATCACTCACAGATTATACCTCCTGCTCTGGGCAATGGTTCAGTGCATTTCTGGTTGTATACAGCATAGTTGTATGACATTAGATGGAATTATGACCTTGCTATTGTCTTATTTGGAGTTTAAGTATGGTTTAAAGAATTGTGTATGGGTGCCATGCTGACAGGGGGTGGACTTGTGATGGTTCATTTTATGTGTCAATCTGACTCGATCATGGAATGTCCAGATATCTGGAAAATCATTATTTCTGGTTGTGTCTGTGAGAGTGTTTCTGGATAAGAATAGTGTTAAACTAGTAAACTGAGTAAAGTAGGTGGTCCTCCCTAAGGCTAGTGGGCATTGTCTAATCCATTGAGGCCCTGAATGGAACAAAGGCAGAGGAAGGTTGAATTTGCTCTCTGCCTGACTGACTGATCTGTGACACTGATTTTCTCCTGCCCTGGGATCTCATGGCTCTCAGGCCTTCAGACTTGCTAGAATCTATACCATCAGCTATCCTATTCTTAGGCTTTAGACCTACACTGTTGGCTTTCCTGGGTCTCCACCTTGTAGACAGTAGGTCATGGGCTTACTCAGTCTCCAAAATCATGTCAACCAATATCTTATAATAGATATCTTTAGATATAGGCATAGATGACATATAGATATAGGTTGATATAGATTTATCTCTATATTTGTTTTTCCATATATCCTATTTGTTCTGTACTCTGGACAACCACGACTAATACAAACACTAGGTGTAGGTTTAGTGAACTTTTTTCCTTATCTTGAAAAATAGAAGGAAATATCATGATGCAACTATTAATTGTTACCCTCAAATAAGTCTGACTTAGAAGGTATCTTCTCAGATGAGGTATTGTCATACTATGACAGTGTGAGGATTATTTTGTATAAGAAATTTCTTTGAGAATGATGGTCCAAAAGTTGATCCAGCTTGACAATTAAATTTTCTAATGAACAGATATCCCTATCATTAACTTTATTGACAGAAGGCAGTGGGATTTTGATTGGCTATCATCACTGTCAATCATGGAATAATTCAATCAAAGAATAATTCACTTTAGATGTATGATACTTGCAATTGTCATGAAAGAGACTTAAGAAGATGAGCTGGCATGCAGCCGCTGTCACAGGCCCAGTAATCTGCTGGGCTCATCACAAGATTGAAGAAGAGTGATGCACTCTTACTGCAAAGATAAGAAGAGCACTAAGACTTCTAAATTGTAATCTAAAAAAGTCTGTATGCCAGAAATAGGTATTACACAAGGTCATTTGTGTCTTAAAAGAATAAATAAACTACTGAATGCTTCAAATGAAGGAGTGTTCCTATCCTGTTTGGGGTAACATGGAAATGCATCCTGGGAGCTGTAATATTTGAGACAAACCTTGAAGAAAGGATAGCATTTCAATAGTAAAAGAAGATGGGGGCATTTAGTCAGGGGCAGGCATTTTTGTGGAGTGACTTATGTTAATGAAAGTATGTACCTGAGAGGATGGTGTGTCCACAAGGCTTTCAGTAACTCACTTCCGGTATCACACAGGGTCCATTAGGAGAAATGCATGGGAAGAGACTTCAGAGTTTAACTAAAGTTTTATTGGAAAGGACTTCAAATAATACCAGGACACAAATTCAGGGTAAAGTATCCATATATGTATGTATATGTGTATATATATGTATTTTATATATTTCTTTATATACATGTAGATATGTTTATGTATCATGTAATCTATACATACACATGAACAAATATAAACAAATTCATGTATATATACATACTCAGATCTAGATACATATAACATGCATGCATATAATGTTAGCAATAAGAGTACATTGAAAGTTACTGAGAGGAATATGATTTATTAGAGATCTCTCTATGAAGAATAATTTGGCAGCAATGTTTGGGAAGTAAGAGAGTATCCGCAAGATGTAGGAGATAAGTTACCAGAGTTTTGCAGTTCACAGAGGCTGTTAGTTATCAGGGTGAGAGCCTGAGTGTTATCAGCAGGAATGTGTGTGGAAACAGTGATGAGAGAGGAGGGCACCAGAGGACCTGAAGACCATCACTCACTATATTAAAGTATGGAGTATGATGAAAGCAAATGATTAGGGACTATTAAGTCACAAAACATCCAAACTCTTGTTCATTTTCGTGTCTTCCTCAGACACTCACTGGGCACCATGACATCATATCTTCTTTACATTATTTGAACTTCGGTAATATGCATTTTGAATCCTCACATTGTCAACAATGCATTCCAATAACCTTTATATATTACTGATGTGTCTTATTAGTTCCCTGTTTTTTAGTTCTCAGAAGATTGAGAATATTTCTTGCCTATTCTGCCACTTCTTTTTCCTCTCTATGCCCATCCCAAATAAATTCTGCAATCTCATCTCTTAGCTTTCTGAATTACAAAGCATTTCAGATTATCCTACAAATCCAAACAGTTGGAAAGTGCCTTTCAAGGCACCAGAGACAGTGAGAGGCAAACCCCCTCCTCCTTACTCATGGATGCACACTACGTGGATGCTAAGAGCATCCTCTTACAGTTTGGCCCAAACTCACTGTCTTACAGCTTTCTCTTCTTTTTCTTCGTTGTTTTCCCACTTCTTCTTATTCCTCTGTGTGATCTGCGAGTTGAAACCCCACAAAAAGTGAAATTCACCACGTCCCAAAGAAAGTGGAATGAAAGACCTTTGATGACTAGCAGATTCCTGGGATTTGCCTCTGTTCCCTCAAACACAGACCTGCCTCCACTGTGGAGTTAAATATGATGTGAGTCTGCAGGCTGCTGAGCAGTGTTACTATCGGAGACATTATAATTCAGTCCTATAGCGGGGAACTACACTATGTTAGTGCTTAATGCATTTCTAAAGCCACGTTGAAAACAGCGAAATGTAAAATATTTTATTTGTTTTTGTCCTTAATTATTTTAGAATAACATGAACACCTGATTAAATTTCTATGTTTTTGAGTAACATCACGTATATATTAAGGTGTTTATTAGGTACTCCCACTTTAAATCATTAAAACACTTGGGGAATTATAACTGCAAAAAACTTTCCACACTAACCACAACAGAGCCATATCTCATCTGCAAAATCATGTGATTGTTTTAATAAAAAGAGAACAGATATTAGTATGAGATCTAAACATGTCTCTTTAACATTTTTGCCAGTGAATCTATGACTTTCTTATTTCTCAAGCTGTAGATAATTGGATTTAACATAGGGATGATGACAGTGTAAAATAGAGAGTCCATCATATTTTGATCATCTCCCTGTGCAGATCTAGGGCACGCATATATGAAGACAAGAGGGCCATAGTATAAAGAGACGGACAAGAGATGGGCTCCACAGGTGGAGAAGGCTTTCCTGATGCCTTGTACAGACTTCCTTTTTAATATTGTAAAGAGAACAAGTGTATAAGAGACAAGAACAGTCAGAATGGTGAACACTTGTATTGACCCAGCAAAAATAAATACCATCAGAAAATTAATAGAGGGGTCAGTATAAGAAATCTTAAGTAATGGGCCGGCCCTGTGGCTTGGTGGTTGAGTGGGCGCGCTGCGATGCTGGTGGCCCGGGTTCGGATCCCGGGTGCGCATCGAGGCACCACTTCTCCGTTCATCCTGAGGCCGAGTCCCACATACAGCAACTAGAAGGATGTGCAGCTACGACACACAACTATCCACTGGGGCTTTGGGGGGAAAAATAAAATAAATAAAATCTAAAAAAAAAAAAAAAGAAATCTTAAGTAATGGTATAATGTCACAGTAAAAGTGATGTATTATGTTGTAATTACAGAAGGTTAATCTGAGTAAAAAGCCTACATGAATTAAGGCATGAAGAAGGCCACCTAAAAATGACAAAACTAATAGCCTGATGCATAGTCTATTGGTCATTATCACCGGATAGAGTAAAGGTTTGCATATGGCCACATAGCGATCATACGCCACTGTTGCCAGCAGAAAACATTCTGTGGTTACACTGATAACAAAGGAAAAAAATTGTATCATGCAGTCAGAGAAAGAGATCATCTTACTCTTGGCAAAGAAATTGACCAGGATATTGGGGGTCACAGTGGATGATAACCAAGCATCCACAAAGGCCAGACTCCCAAGAAATAAGTACATGGGGATGTGAAGTTGAGGGTCATTCCATATGAGAGCAATCAGAACTAGGTTCCCCATGATGGTGATGAAATATATAAGCAAGAACAGCAGGAACAGAGGGATTTGCCACTTTGGTTCATATGTAAGTCCTGTGAGAATAAAGTCTGTCAGCAACGTCACGTTTTCCTTTTCCATGTCCTCACTGGGTGCTGCCTGAAGTGCAATGGAGTAAATAAAAAGAATATATCACTGAGGATTTGTAATGTGAACATATTGGGGAGGGGGGGGAGTTGAGATATAAGTATACACATCATAATTTCCCCTTCATTTTTCTTATTACCTCTTTAATAGATAGAATCTATTTTGGGGCAATTGAACAAATGAAAATAATGCAATAATTTTAATTTAAAAAATGTTCAGCAATGAACAGATTTAGAAGAAAGGAAATTCATGGGAATACCATTGAGTGTGATAGGGGAATTCTGTTTTTGGAACATGGATGTTGGGTTAAGGGGAAAAAGTTTGGGTGGTGGAATGAATACAATGGTATGTGACCGATCTTGACTTTCACTCTTCAGGCAATAAACATACACTGAAAAATTAAGAAATGTGGAGTGCTGTTATAAGGTATTTTTAAAAATAAATATATGGCAGTGGAGAAAGTAGGCTTCTGGGAGGGGAAATTGGACTCAGGAATACTAGTAAGGAAGCTGATACTTTTGTCCAGTGGTTCCCAAACAAGATTGCACATCAGAATTGTCTGAGGAATTTTTTGTGCAAAACATAAATTGTGAGGTATCACTGTAGAAATTGATTCAGTGGGTCAAGAATGGGGATTTAATATCTGCATTTTAAAAATGCTTCCTAGTGATCCAAATGCATGTTGAGTGCCTAGTCAAAGACTGATATGACATATGAGGAGGAATGAGAGATAGATGCAAAAGAATTCAGAATATAGAGTCACTAGGACTTGGTGACATATTAGATGTGAAGGTGATGTAGGAGCGAGGAGTCACTTGATGACCAGATAGATGGTCATCAGATTTAGATTGAGAACTCAGATGCAGTGGTCAGTTTGTAGAATGAACATCCTCTGAACATCCAGGTGAGATAGCTGAGTAGTATGAATCTACCAGAGCTCAACAGAAATAGTGTCTTTGGAGTCACTGGAGTAGCTGAATGTGTATTTATGGATGACCTAACCACTGGAGAAGTAAAGAGAAAAAGTAAAGAGAAAGAGAGCATGGAAAGAAACTCGAGGAAGTTTATTAAAGAGGTGATAAAGTGGATACATGGCAGAGTATATTATATTAGATGTATGTTAGATGGCCAGCATCCGATCCTCTTTTCTACCACACAGTCTTGGGACCAGCAGACATTACCACCACTCAAGAAACCAAAAGAGCCAGAATCTGACTTTTCCATCTCCCAGGGACCTGGATTGAGGGGACTTGACCTAGATTTGCAAATCAAACCCGCTAAACCCACATTTGGAATATGGAGAGAAGGAGAAAATGGTACAGAAACAGAGAATATTGGCCACAAAGGCAGCAATAGGAAGATTCCAGAAAATGCATCCTGCACCCGCAATAATGGCATTGTCAGTGTGAGCTGCATTCCAGGTTCAGCAGCAATGACAGCGGCTCTCATTGAGTTGGTGATGGGATGTGATTTGGGCTGTTGGTTGGCTTCTTTGCTTTCTTCTGTTCTGCCCATTTTTTTAGCTAAATCTTTCTTGCATTTCTGTGATAAAGCCAATTTCCATTCAATTAACTCATTTCTTGTTACAACCAAGGGACCTGGCTCACACCAAAGAAAGACTAGGGAGAGACCAGGTGAGCAGAGCGATCAGAGAAGCAGGAGGGAGACGGGACAGCTGAGTGTTGTGGACTTAGAGGGAAAGACGCTCAGGAAGAATGAAGTGAAGTTCATGTCAGACGCCAAATAAATGCTCTAGTAGGACAAGGAGTGCTCAGAGTTCACTGAGTGTGGATGTTAAGACATTGGCCTTGGCTTCAGTGAGAGCGGTTTCCATTTTGTGAAAGACATGAGGCCAGAAAATCATGAGAAGTGAAAGGGAAACCAGTGGGTGGAATGATACAGGAACTCCAAGAAATGTGGGAACAGTTGGCATTTCTCTTCTGCTAGACACCTATAGGGTTGTTTTTCCTCTAGAACATTTTAATAAAAGTTTCAAAAGAGAGGAGAGGAGATAAGGCACGGAGAGGAGACAGGGAACAGGAGAAGTGGGAAGGAAATATGTAAGAAAACAACACGGAGGTGAGTGAAGACGGAAAATAACAGAGACGGATGATCAGTGCAGGAAAGACCAGGAAGAGGGAGAGAGGAAGTCACTGAAAGGCTGAGGGGAAGGGAGGGGCGGCTCGGAGTTTTGGGTGAATGTTTGTCTTCACCTTGGTCTTCCTTTAGGATGTCAGTCCTGAGAATCTTGCTTTTTTTTTTTTTTGAAACTATAAAGTTTATTTTCCTATGGAATGTGTATGAAAAAGGGACTTTGATTTTACATTTTATTTTACAAATTTTGTGTTTTTCATGAATGTATTGGCACCTCTTGAAAATTCTCTCCATATTTAAAAGTTGCTTTCTCTCTGTTATTATAGGGATTAAAACTGACCTTCTGCTTATTTTACTTGAGACCACTTTCCTCTCCACCAGATGTGGGTTTTTTCTTGTTTGGGGGCTCTTTTTAGCAGAATAAAACAGCCAAAACTGGATCTTGAATACAGGCAATGCCAATAATGAATGTCAGTAATTCCAATTGTTAATTAGATTTTTATAGGGAATATTCATCCTTCCTTGCAATCTCAATTACTAAATAATTGAAAGCCCTAAAATTTAATTTGTGTGTGGGTACTTACTGAATCATAAATGCTGGAAAGCATAGTGGAGGGATATTTTCTACATATTTCCTGATATATATATATATAGTTACATATACAAATATACAATACTGTATAAATAAAATACCTAATGATCACTACATACTTACCTTTATTTCTATAATATATATTTCTATGTTATATATACAAAATAATAAAATTAGTGTCAGAAGTAGGTGAAAGGATAGAGGAATTACTATTTCACTGATTTTCCTTAAAATTTTTAGTCACTGGGTAATTAAACAGAATGAGTCTTTATGTCAGAATCATCAGAATGATTTCTTATATCAGAATCATATGACCTGAAATTTTAAAACCACTTTTAAATTATTTAACTTTCCAATTAACCAAAATTTACCTTATAAAATCATTATACTTAGGTTAACAAAATAATAAAACATTCACAAAGGGAACAATGCAGTCTTACAGCTATTTTGCATAACCCAATTTTAGTTATCAATAAAATACACAATTAATTCTCTATTTTCTCCCCATTTCTATGTGACGATTTTGAAATCTTATAAACCCAATATAAAATTATTATAAATCAAACTGAATTTTAAATTTTCTGTAGTAAGATAACTGAATGTTAAAGAATTCATTTTTCTCTTACCCATATCTTGTAAGAAATTGCGGATATCCTTTCAAAGAGTGAGGGTTTCTAAAGTAGAAAAATATGCAACACCACAGGAATGACAGTTACACAGGCAGCAGCTGTTTCCATTCTGATTCATTTGGAGGTTTCATTCTCAATCTCAGGAAAATGTGGTTTATATTACTTTCCTTTGAACACAAGAGCCAACTAATTATACAATCGTGTGCTTTTGCAAAAGAGGAAGAAGTGAAGAACTAAAATTCACCCGAGAGCACCCGAGTATTCCCTTTAGGACAAAGCTAAGCTGTTCCTCTGGGCACTGTGGGCTTGGACATGTGTGAGAACTCCAGGTTGTCCCACAGGACGTTACAGACTCTGACATCATGAACATCAACTCACTGTAGATAGCACTAGTTTTAACCCTTGATATTGCACTTTATGCTACTATTTTTCACCACAGAGGACACTTCTGGCATGTTTATGCAAATTTCAATTTACTATAAATTTTGAGGCTCTGAGTGCTTTGATTAGAATGGTCTTGTCTGAGCTAATCATATATGATTTAAATGAGGCCAGAGTTCTAGATTCCCTTCAGGAGCCAACCACAAGAAAGTTGTCCTCCTCATGCAAACTGCAGCTCACATTCAGACCTGGACCTCACTCCCCACTTTAAGCTGAAATCTGATGAGAAATCTTACTAGGCAAAGGTCAGGGAGGAGCAAAGGAAAAACAGAACAAAAGACCACGGTGGGAGGAGGCCCAGATCAGAGCTTCCCAAACTTTAACACCTATGAATCTCTTGGAGATCTTGTTAAAATGCTGATTCTGTGTCAGAGGTCTGGGTGGGGCCTGAGGGTCTTCATTTCTAACAAGGTGATGCCTGTGGACATTTGCCATCCACAGGGCCTTCTTCATTGGAGGGCCTAGATTATCGCAGAGCTAGATCACTGGAGAAGCTCAACATGGTAAATGAGGCTGGCATGCCAAGAGAGAAGCAGGAGGAGCCAGATGGGGCTGGGGAGGCCAGCCTGGGTGGGATCACAGTGGGTCTGCAGGCCAGGTCAGGGCCTTTGTTCTTCACCCCAAATTAAAGGAGATCTATTGTATTTTGAGCAATGGTGGTAAGATATTCATATTTGCCTTTTGTGTGTTAACAGAGATGTTGACAAGGAATGATAATTCTCAAAAATAATGACATTATTTTTTATCATAATGGTATTTTATCAAAAACAGTAATATTTTGGGTCATATCTGAAGAGGAGAAAAAGTGTTTATCATCCACTGGGGACTTCATTTGCAGCTAGGGGGAAAGCAAAGGGCACATTTTTTGGTAGACTCATTTATCAATTATACTGTGTCCTTAGAATTTTACTATTGAAAGCCAAAAGAAGGAGAAAAAATCACCACAGATAAGAGAAGAGTCACTGTGAAAACTCAGCAGATGGGTGGAGCAAGCGGTGTGATGTGCAGAGGTAGCTTCAACATGACCCAAACTTGACTTAAATTTACTGCCCCCTTCAGTTCTATCATTATCTCCTAACTCTATGTTGCCTGTCTGTGAGTACAGAGGTCTGCATTGCTGCTTCCAGTATGAGCAGTCTTTCAAATTTACTCATTTTAATAGGTGGGTCGTGATATCTCATGGTGGTCTTCATTTGCATTCCCCAATGATGAATTCTATAGAGAATATTTTTGTGTCCTTA